GATATCGCTAGGCCAAAGGCCCTTTGGTCTCACTCACTCTCTTGATTATTACATTCACATGAATTCTATTTTTGATACTAAAATATGGTAGATTCTTGTTATTAACTAAAAGAACCTTTTTTAAAAAAAAAATTACCAATCATATGAGACGATCCAATTTATATCTATATTTCGGATTTCAAAACTACTCTTGGTTTTTCTTACCTTATTGATTCATTTTGACCTAATATTGAGTGCATAAATTTTAAGTATTGTTCTATCTCTAAAACACAAATAAAATCTCAAGCTATACCCATGATGGCCTTTTGATGGTACCTGAAAGTTTTATTATAATCCTAAAAGCTTAAAATGACGATAAAAACAATAACATGATTCGATATGGAAACCAACTGCTTTATATTAATTCACATAGATTGTACTTGGAATAGTCAATATTATGACTACGAATAATGCCAATCTATATATTGAAGGTATATTATATGATGTGTTTGATGGTGGAACGGGTTTATGATTTTATGTAAAAATAATTTGGTAGATAATATTAATCTAGAATAACTACCGATTGTTTTGATCCTATGATTTCTTGAAAAACATGGTTTTATATAAAATACTAGAAGGGACTTCGCGCAATGTAGCGAGATATATCTTGATTTTAATATTTAATTTAATTTTTATCTCAATCGATGTTATAATATGGTTTTATGTGATTTTGAAAAAAACGATGATTTTTTTATTTCTGAATAAAATCTAAATTTGAAGTTATCATAAAAATTTGACAAAATTATATCGATATTAGTATCAAATTAACTATTTAAAATTTCTTATTTTTTTGTGTAATTTTTAAATTCAATTTTTTTAATTATAATTTAATTTAAGTTCAATAACGAAGTAATTTATATTTGGTTTAGTAATATAATTTTCTTATAAATATAATAGTTAGTTATTTTGTTAGAACTCGATAATTTTTCTAATTATATTTTAGATTTTTTATATTTTAAAATGAGATGTGTATCCTCTATTTTATTATGTTTATCCGCAGTTAGTTACACGAATTCAAACATGGAGCTTTAATAAGCTGTACTTATGCATAATTTACTTGTAATTTTGAATTTTAAGTGATATGCATCAATATACAGTACTTCATGCATAAAAAAATGTTTTTAAGAGTTTTTGTCAAATGCTTTATACTATAATATAGATTAATATTGATTCAATTTAAGATTATTTATGATGATAAAAACAATATATTAAAAAAATTGTACTAATTAAAAGCCCCCTTTTTATCTTTCGTACATAGCCCATGAAATATCAGAAACGAACATCAATTAATCGATTAATTACCATCAAGACGACTAGGGAATTTGGTAACGAGAGGGACCAAATCTGAAACAAAATAGCAACCACAATTACTAAAAGTGTAATTATTTTGAGAAGGGACCAACTTGATAGTGATTGACAACTATAAGGATAAAAAGTGTAATTAAATCAAAATAATAATAAAAACTATATGGTGGCCTTCGTGGATTATAAAACTGGCAGACCAAACATTTGTAATGGTACCACCAACAACGTTGTCCCATTTTATTTGTATTGTCTATGATTACACATTGTCTTGAACCCTATTTCTAATGATTAATTATTTTTATCAACATTTATTTTTTTAATTAAAAAACATTATATTTGCATTAAAATACCCAAATATTTGTACTAAATAATTAAGGACCAAAAGTCTAAAAATTAAGAATTGATTTTATATCCCAAAAATTGGAAGCTAAATCACGTTTTAAGCAACTGAATCATGCGGACAATACCATTTCTAAAACTATTTCTGCAATCGTCTAATTAATTTGATGCGTAGCTAACTTTTATAATAAAAGTTTAAAACGACAATACTTTTTATAAATTTATAAATAAAAATATAAACATAATTACAATAAAACGTTTTTTCTTAGGCAATGGCTCCGACACGTCGAGGAACCCGGTCCACCCGTCCCAGTCGGGGACGGGGATTCCCCGTTAGATAGGGGACGAGGATCCCCATTTGTCTTAAACCGGGGATGGGGACGAGGACGGGTATGGTACTCCCCGCCCTGCCCCGTACCCGTTATATAGATATATATATATATATATCAATAAATTATATATATGTATATTATTTATTTCAAATAAATATTAATTCATAATTTCTTATTTCCTAACTAGGTTTACAATCTAAAATTGTTATTTTTTAGATGTTAATATGTAATATTTTGGATGTCAAGTCTAAATACAATTACTCGATAAGTTTTGTATATTACTCAATATCTTTTGGTACATATGAATTTAAGTTTTTTTGTATTACATTAAATTCGTTTTGGTTTTAGGTTTATTAAAGATGTTTGAGATTTAAACATGTATAATCTCTCACATATTTAATTTAAAATAACTTATATAAACAAAAAAAAAATATTCGTTTCCTCGTTAGGGATCTATGTTCCCCATTGGAGATGGGGACGGGGATTGAAGTCTCCGTCCTATTTCCATGCCTATTTTTTCTCGTTTATTTTTTAAATGATAATATGAATCCGTTACGAGTTGACAAATACATTAAATAAGAACCATAACTTTAAATCACAATCATGACAAATTAATGATTTGTTTCTTTTATAATTTTTTTTGCATTAATGAAATACATGAATGACACAAAACATTGGTAATGATGGTTTGGTTTTTTAGAAATATAATAATAATAGCATGTTTAATTTTATATAGAAATAGATGATATTATATTGACAACTTTGTTTTTATCCTATAAAATACACTTTATTTTCTATTTTTAAAACTTTGCCTAACACAATTCAATGGTTTTATAGATTAATTAATTATTTATTAAAACCATCAACATATTATATAAGTTTTATATATTCTTCCATAATGGCAGGTACATTGAATATAGCTACATAGACATCCATTTTCCATAAATAATGTGTTTCATTTTTTGTACCGGAATGATTGAAATATCAAATTGTATAACAAGATTATGTAACCACTTTCATTTACTTAAATTTAAGTCAGAATAAACCAATATAACCCAAATTTATATTTGTCTAATAGTGAAAGTATAGAAATTGCAAAACTCTAGAATAAGTAATTTTAAAATTTTTATGGTTTTAACCACAAGGGTGGTGCCTAATTGATTTGAGCTTGATTCAAAAGGGCAAAAGTATCAGGAGGTTCCAGATTCAAATCCAATAAGGAATAAAAATCCCCTTGTGGCCACGGAGGTTCAAATGCGGTGACTCCGGGCTATCTACAAAGCACTCCCCCTGGTATTAATCGGCTCGCATAGTGGGTTGGATATCCAGGCTAATAAAAAAAATGGTTTTAAAGATAATATCATATAAGGAAAACATGATGTATATATTTTGGTTTGGGGGGGGGGGCAATGAATACAGTATCAAGGGATGATGATCGATGAAGAGATAACGCTAAGGTGACAGGACAGGTGCGTATTTGACGGAATTGATGGTGACGATAATGGTGGTTGGTGTGTGGGGGTGGTTGTTTAAATTGTATTATACAAGTTAATTAATACACAAATTGGAAGTCAACTAATTATGTAATGATATCAAATTCAATTATTGTTAATTAATAGGTTTATGGGGATAAATAGAATTTTTAAAAGTGGATGGGGTTGTTTTGCCCTTTCCTGAAACTCAAGAACATCATGTTTAAGGTGAATTTTTGGTTCATGGTCTCCAATCTATGCAATTTAATTATGTTATGTATCTCTATGGATGGCAACTGAACATGAAGCAAAACCTAAAGATAGTCTGAAAGAAAGAGATAGTGGGGAGACGAAGCTAGGGATGCTCAAAAACCGACCAACCCGATCAACTCAACCAAGAAAAAATCGAAAAAAAAACCCAACTCAAGGTAACTCGAAGCAGGATTGATCATAAAATTGGCCAAACCGCCTCTATCGGGTCGGAGTTGGGCCATCCATGATGGAACCCGACCCAACCTGATAACCCATGCCACTCTTCCGTCTCATTTAGCTCACAGAGCGCGTTTCATCCACAACACAGCAACACATAGATGTATAATTTTCTTCTTTGACCTAGATATTGATTTCGTCTTGCCAACACAAGTATCAATTATTCTTGCCAACATGCATCGTTTTCTTTTTTGACCTAGATATCGATTTCTTCTTTCTAACACATGTATCGATTTGTTCCTGATAGATCTATTCCACACAAGTATCGATTTCTTTTTTATTAGTTCACTGATTCTTCATGATTTGGTTCATCAGTTTCTTATGTTCTGCACAACTACCCATCAGTTTCTTCCCGATCTTCTTCTTCTATTCTACACACCACACTAGGTTTCAATTCTCCTAACATACTACAAATTTCTTCTATTCTAATCTAACAAAGAGAGGTATTGATTTTCAACAGAATTATAGATTCTTTTTTTTTAAAGATTGGTGACTTGTTAAATTAAAAAAGTTACTTGTGATTTGATTGCATATTTGTTTGCTCTGTTGTATATTTGTTTGCTTGTCGTTATCTATACTATATTATAAACCGTATGTAATTGGTTTTAGAGTTATTTTACAAAGTCTAAAATTAAATTAGTGACGAGTTCCGTCTGTAATTGGATCCCTAATTCCATCGGAAATTTCATTTTTCCAGAGAAACGTCGGTAACACCCATAATGACAAATTTTGGACAGAAATGTCAGTCGATGATACTCTATAACTTATAAACAATTCCATGTTTTTCAGAACAAGCCTTGTTGATCCCAGATTGGACCCAAGCCTATAGACTGGGACTAGGTTTTTTGACAACACTCGATCAGTACCCAAAACGATTGAATAATAGAAGAAAGTTTTGGTGACGTGTGCCTATGTCCAATAATCATTCTATGACATATCACTTATTTATTAATTTGTACTTAAAAGTTCTTGCATTGTGAGAAGAAGAGATCAAGAAACTTCAAATTTGATTAAGCTTTATTTATTAATGAAAGAAGAGACAAATAGCCGAGATATCATCAACTGCGATTCCTTTCCTTTTGCGTTTCCAGGCACGCGCTGCAAACTCGACCAGTCGTTTTGCCGACTTTGCCCGGTCATCCGTTGACGACACAATCTCCACCGCTTGTTCGTTTGATACAACATCCCACACCTACAATTTTAAACACATAATTGCTTAATTACAATTAGTTTCATGACTTAATAATGGGTGGATGCATATATAACATACCCCATCAGAAGCAAGCACAATAAACTGGTCTTTGCTGATTATATGTCTATGTGTTACTTGAGGAACAGATATAAGTCCATAATCCTTGACACAATAATCACCAAAGGCTCTCGACATAGCCAACCCAGGTGACTCCTCGTTTGGCAGCCACAACCGATGCACCCCAGGCTCGTCCTCTAGACACAAAACTCGCCCTTTGCACTCAACTATGCGCTCAGCCTCATCTGCATGTAGATCAAGAATCAGTATCAATTTTCCATGACATAAGACCCATTAAAGAAAATACTCATGCTTACCGGGTAGATTGGGCTTAAAATCTACAGTAAGTTGCACAGCTACCAAACAACCATCATTCACAATCGTAGCCAGTATTGCACGTGAATCTCCAACGTTTGCTATCACTACAAGTTCACCCTGGAAATTAACAAAACAACATATAATCTCCCTTAATTCCTTCAGTATGTAAAAAATGGTGACTGAATAAAAAAATCTAGCCACCTGTCTAATGGCCGCTAAAGCGGTGGTTCCACTTTGAATCGAATCAAATTTGTGGCAATGTCGGATATCCCTATCAACAACAGCGCAAGTCTTTATGAAAGAATCCTTCCATATATCCAGCTTTTTATCACACGTGTGAGGATCAAGTGAAGCTTCAAATAGCATCTCTTGCCAATTACATAGCAAAGATGAAGGCATTGATTCACAAACTCTCTTCGCAACATAATGTCCCCAAGGTCCATGACCATCAAAAATCCCACAAAACATCATGTCCTTTTGGCATCCAAATTCCTACAGGCATCCATAAAAGCAAAAATCTATACGTATATATATTTTAAAATATATTATTGTAAATTCTACTATCCATTGACATTTGCAATATCGTCAATATATACCTCCCACACAATGCAACAATCTTGATTCACCCCCTTTTCGCCCCTTTTGGAGCAGATCGAAGCAAAAGTATTTATATTAATAGAACCAGAAGACCTTAAGATCATATTATCCTTCTTTGCCTCCTTTGCCATGACTTCTGCTACCTCTTTTTGACCACAACTTTTCCCTCTCTTTGTAGGCGAAAACGACTTTGCAAGCTCATTAAACATCGCCGTAAAACGCCCCATGATTAATAAAATCAGTCCTCAATAATCCTGTTTCCACATATTACAAAATGGTTTATCTTTTTTAAGTTAGATATTCAGCATGATAACATCCATGAACTTCGGTCACATATAAAACATATTTTTTAATTCAGTAAAAGGTTAATTATCTGATCCATAAAAAATTAAGAATTTCAATAGTAGATTTGAGTGTACAAGGAATGAATCTGGTACATTCCAAATATACAGCGGATAACATAACAGGTTGGACAAGGAATTCCAACAATCTGCGTAGACTCCTTTTATTTGATTGCAGAGAAAATTTGTCAAATTCAATACAAACCGAACCTTTAAATCCTCAAAGAAAATTATTTGCCTAGAAGAGAAAACTGTAAATTCGACAAGCAGTGATGTATGTTTCAGAATTTCATCTCTTTAAAAAGGGCTAGTAATCTTCAAAACATAAACCCATCCATTAATAATACCCAAAAAAAAGATGATCTTATATCTACTTTTATCCATACCAAAAATCTGACAAGAACCCCATCACTTAATAAAAGAACCCATCAAATCCCGTTAAAAAACGAAAAGAATTCAAGATATATTTATCATCCCATATGGATTATCAAACACTAAAAGCTTGAAGCTTTGTTTAACTGCTCAGAAATTATGTGAGAAAATTAATTCAACTAGTACTGTTTAACCAAACCTTTCGACAAAACATATAACTTATTTTTGAAAAACAACGATTATCCATGAATTTAAAGAAGAAAAAGCCAAAAGGGGCAGAGATATTACCGGGAACGCCTTGTTATTTTTCTTCTGGAAAACAAATCATCAGCTAAAACTAAAACCGTATAGAATGGCAGGAGTAAGAGGGAATTTCGACATGTGCATATGAGATATCGAGAAATTGGATAAAAATCATAATAATAATTCCTCCGAAGGGAGGAGAGGAGAGGAGAGGAAAACAAAAAAAGTGGTGATGGTATATATATATATATTCTATACAACTTCTTAAAACTGTTGTTTTTAGTTAAAAATCCATACAATATCTTTGTTTGTGACGATATTCACTATTCGTTGAATAAGTGAATTTGATTACTTGTGAAATTCTTTTAGTATTTTAAAGGAAAACTCTTGTTCTGAAGCATATACTCTCTATGATGTTTGGGATAACTTGTAACCGATATTTCTATTGTTAATGGTGTAAAAGAAATTATATATTAAATAGCTACTATTTGTTGCGACAAATAAGATTTTCACTAACGAAGATCTATGTTGATATCAAAGTCATATATTCTTTAATTTCGCATTTATCAACTATTGAACCTTTTTGGGAGGTTTGAGCATATTCAAGAATAGGAACTCAGAGTTTTTCTATTATGTGTTTGGATAATTTTGAGAGTTATATCAAAATATTAATAGTCTAAAAAATTGAAAAAAACTGGAATTTTAGAATTTTCAAGACAATGAGAGTTAATATTTGTGTGAAGAGAAAGATTGGTGTAATGAAAAATATTTAATACTGGTGTTTGCCATGCCACCATACGATATATGGTGATCAAACTTCATATTCAGATAATACAAAAATCGGTTTCAGTAGTTATTTTTTTTTTTGGTATAAACCGAATATGTTGCAAATTTATATTTAGTATTTACAGTAATTTACATGATTGGTCCCTGTGGTATAAAGAAAATTACATTGTGTGATCCTAAATCAAAGTAATTGTAGAAAACGTTTATGTGGTTTACATTTTCACATACCTTCAGTCTCTTGTCCTTGACTCCATTAACTTTTTTCTGTTAAGTAGGTTAACTAGGAGGGTATTTTAGTACTTTTACTTATTTTTGTTTATTTTCTATTACATAAATTAAATATATGTTTATTAAAAAATTACAAACTAAAATACCAAATTCAAACATTCATAACTGAAATCAAAATTCAACAGCAAAATCATCCCTTAAAAAACACAAAAGCAACAATAATAACAAATTTAAATAAATTTCTTAAAATATTTGTAACACAGACACAAAATTAAAACCCTAAATCAGACTTCACATTTCTGAAATCAGAACACTAAATTAAAAAAAAAAAAAAAAAACTTGGATCTCTAAAATCAAAAATCATAAACCCAGATTTCAATGGCTTCAAAAACCACATCTTCATAATCACTAAATCAACAATTCAAAACCAAGAAACCATAAAAATATGTAGGTAAAAAATCAGAAATGAATCGATCTTCAAGAACTAACTCTTCATGAACCATAACTCAATCTGCTTCAAAACCCTAGATGAGATCTTCAAAACCAGAGCTTCAAAAATCAGGTCTTCAAAACTCAGAACTCAACCTGCTTCAAAAACTCAGAACTCGAGTGGGGAGAATGGGGAAGGGGGTGGGGTAACGTCGGAGTCACAACGGGGCTTTGGTGGTCGGCGAAGATTGTTAGAAAATCGGTAATGGAACATGTAACATCGTGGATTTGATGTAGTGATGGGGTGCGGTTTCTCTACAACGAATATTATTTGTGGTAGATGATAAAACATTCAACGTAATATTATTTTTGCAAATAAAAGAAAGTTATAATGTTCAAAAATAAAGATTTGTAAGAAATGAATATAAGTTAGAAACAACACATAAAAACCGTTATGTACAGAAAAGACGTTTTAATTATGTTAATTGTTATTAGATAGAAAAATGAAAGGTAAAAAATTAGGATATCTAATAATACTAATTGTTAAATAAATAAACGAAATTATGCTTGGTATTTAAATTAATAAATGGTGAAAAAATATTGATTTTTATATATGTAAGTTAAGGAGAGATCTATATCAATCCTTTTGTTTATATGAAATCTCGTAGTAATCGACTAAGTTTAAGAAGATGCTCTCATTCACCTTTTAATCTTTTTTTTAATCAATTTTTGAATTTAAAAATCGACATATACAATGCTAAATCATTCACTTTCTTTTTATTTTTGTAAACAGTAATATAACTGAAATAAGGGGTTGTTTGATAGTTGCTGAATGGTTCGGTGCAGAATGATTAAGTGATCAGAATGATTAAGAGGCTTTCATGATATAGTGCAAAATGAAATATAAATGTTTGGTAATTGTTTACAATGAAATTAGTGTGCTTAATGGTTAAGAGAGATCAATGATACAAAATCATTCAGAGGGTTTTATAACCATTAAGAGGCAGACTTTTTTTTGCCAAACAAGATTCACCTCTTAATGATTCAGATGTAACATCTTAATGAAATTGTTAAGAGGTAAACAAATAACCTCATTGCTGTTTGGCAGTTGCTGAATGATTTAGTGCAGATTAGTTAAGAGGTCAGAATGGTTAAGAGAGTCAGAATGGTTAAGTGCTGAATGAAATAATGTTGTTTGGTAACTGTTCTCTGAATGACAATAAATTACCATTTTAACCCTCTGAATGATTTAATACTGAATGAAATAGAGCTGTTTGACAGATATCTGAATAAAACAATTATTTTACAAATATAACTACATATTACCATTTACCATGTTAGGATGTATCATCACGATTTCACAACCAAGTTATGCATATACAACAAAATCATGATGCAAATACCCATTTATCAACAAACAGACCTATGCATATACCCATTTAAAACGCATCCTACAAACAGCCCTAATTACGATCCCTAAGTAACAAATAGCCCTAATTAATCTGGTAGAGGGAAGCAGTAGGGGAGGCGATGAAATACCTGGAAAAGGAAGGTATAGGAAGCAGATGTAGGAAGTAGTAGGGCCGGTGACCGGAGGAGCAGACCGGAAAAGCGACGACAGTGGGGGGGGGAAGACAGTGAACGGAAGAACGAACGATCGTGGGGGATGCGATGGTGGAGGTGAAGATACAGAGATGCAGAGATGTGTGAAGAGAGCAGCTGGAAAACAGGGGTGGGAAGGGTAACTGGCGATGGCGAAGTTGTGGAGGTGACCGGCGATGGCTGTGGAAGGCAACGAGTTCTCATGAAGCAACACAAAATGGCTGGAAGAGAAAAGGTGTGGAAGGGTAAAGATGGAAGAAATGCAATCTGAATGGTTGAGTGAGGCCCTAGACACAAAATGGTTAAGAGGTTAATGTAACCATTAAGAGGCTTATTTTTTTTTTTTTGCCAAACAGCCCTTAACTCTTACCGATTAAGAGGTTGGCTCTTAATGTCACCATTAAGAGCCAATCAAACAGCCCCTTAAGGCCGTTTACCTAAATGCTCACCCGATAAGCGCTTATCATTAAGAGTCAACACTATAATTTATTCTACTGGATAAGATTGTAGTACATCAAAATAATATTGTATGCAACAATTTACCCGGTAAGCGCTTACTGGGTAAGAGTCGTCACCCTTACTTACCGAGTAAGACTCTTCATCTTTATCATTGTTCTTATCAGGTAAGATTTTTGGTCATTGTCATGTTCATCCGGTAAGGAAATTACTCAGTAAGTATGTACCGGCTAAACGTTTAATAAACGACCTCTTAATCAATTACAAAGTTTTATATAAAGGAAAATATTGATATAAATAAAATAAGTTGAAGCATTTAATCATATTCATGAAATAATACACCTTACAACTGGCTTTATTATTTAGTTTGGTTTGTAAATTCCTATAATAGGAGGTGCAACACACATGTACAAATTCAAAGAAAATCTCATCAACCAAATCCTCATAAAATTCCAACACACATTCTTTTATATATATATAGAGGTTCAAACGAGAACCCCTGTAATTTATGAGAAAGCGAGAACAACCTAATAATCTCAAACTTTTTTAATTAATAAATTAATTTTTATTATATATAAATAATTTAATAAGGGCAGTAATGTAATTAAGTAATTTTTTTAATTTTTATTTTATTTTAATTAACCATAATTATCCTATCACGTTTCCACGTTTTACTCTTGTTAATTTTTTTCTTCTCCATATCACACCCATATCACATGATTACACCAAAATTTTAACTTATCAACCAAAACGATAACCCATGTTGTATA